TCGGGGAGATTGCACTATCCAAGATCACCTGACCCCTCCCTCACCCTCAAGGCTGTTACATGCCAGGAAATGTGTTGTGGGCCCAAAGAAGTCAAGTGAGGTAGGCTTTTATATGTTTTTGAGTTTTTTAGCGAGTTAGGTGGCATAAGAGTGTTTTCAGGGACACCTAAAGGAGTGCTTGAGTTTGCCCCAGTCATGAATTGCCATTTCCTTACTCACTCCTCTGGCTACCCCTTTTCCTGTTCACACTCACCTTACAGCGATCACCCTTTCCTTTAGCAGAACCCCCAAATTCCTCTTCCCTCTTTTTGCTGACCTGTCCCACACCCCTGCTCCTCCCCTACCCCTGCCCAGCTTCTCTCATCCTCATTCCCCACTTGCTACTCTCTCCGAGATTCCAGACTGTATCCTGCACCACCTCTGTGTCTCCCTATCTCACAGAATCACGGAGATATACAGCATGGAAACAGACTTTTCGGTCCAACTCATCCATGTTAACCAGATATCCTATATAAATCCAGTCCCATTTTCCAGCATTTGGCCCATATCCCTCTAAACCCTTCCTATTCATATACCCATCCAGATGCCTGTTAAATGTTGTAATTGTACCAGCCTCCCCCACTTCCTCTGGTGGCTCATTCCATACACGCACCATCCTCTGCGTGAAAAAGTTGCCCCATAGGTCCATTTTATAAGCTTTCCCCTCTCATCTTAAACCTATGCACTCTCATTTTGGACTGCCTCATCCAGGGGAAAAGACCTTGTCTATTCATCCTTTCCATGCCCCTTGTGATTTTATAAAACCTTATAAGGTCGCCATTCAGCCTCCTGCGCTCCAGGGAAAACAGCCCCAGTCTATTCAGCATCTTCCTATAGCTCAAACTCTCCAACCCTGGCAACAACCTTGTAAATATTTTCTGAACCCTTTCAAGTTTCACAATCTCCTTCTTATAGGAGGGAGACTAGAATTGAATGCTAGAGTGCAATAGTGGCCTAATTAATGTCCTGTACAGCCGCAATGTGACCTCTCAACTCCTATACTCAATGCACTGATCAATAAAGGCAAGCATACCAAATCCCTTCTTCAAAAGCTTCCCATGAAAATCAGCAACTAGTGATGGCTTCAACAGCGATGCTCACATCATACAGAGAGTACTAACCCAAAGTGGATGAGACGAAGGGCAGAGAATATTTGATCAGAGAAATGTAATGCATGGAAATCCCCAGAGCGTTTCACACATGAAGCACTGGAATGACAGAGTGTGGATGTGTGCCTTAAAACAAAAATTAGAATTGTAAATTTTTAAAGACCATCTGGTGCTGGAGACACAGCCACTACCTCATTATCTCCTGCCAATACATCTTGCCAAGAGTCCCCACTGATTGGAAAATAACAAAATACTTAGCACAAGGGATATGAGCCAACGGTTTCTGCAGTCTTCCTCGCCAGACTGCCATCTAGCTGAACTTTCCAATCGTGATCCTACAAACAGGGACACAAGGTTCCCTGGACTGCCAAGTAACAAACAAGGAATAGGTACCTTACATTTTGCTAAAATTGAAAGGAACGTTCTTGAAGCAGAGAAAGATATGAGGCAATGGCGAGAGTGTGAGATAGTCTGATTAGGCTTTTGTTGATCTGGTCGATAGCTGCACCATACATCATATGCTGGTTGAGTTCCTTTTCTGCTTTTGCCTTGTTTTCTTTAACATTCAGTTTTGAACAATCTCTTGTTATTATCAATCCCTAGTTGCCGCTTGAGATGCCATGTTCCTGAACCTCTGTATACATTTAACGAAGATCTGTAGCTCGGGTTGCGGTTGGAGTTGTTGGTCGGTTCACCGAGCTGACTGGTTTTCATGCAAATGTTTCGCCTCCCTTCTAGGTGACATCGTTAGTGCTGTGTAGCCGCCATTGAAGCGCTGTTGTTCTGTCCTGCTCTGAATTTATATTGTCCGGTCTGTCATGGTGAGCAGTCTTGTTTCCAGTTATGTACCGTAGTGGTATGTAGAAGGGATCTATTTCAACATGTTTGTTAATTGCATGGGTGGTTAAAAACCAGGCCTCCAGGAATTCATGCTTGTCTTTGTCTTGCCTCTCCTAGTACTGTGACTTTGTTCCAGTTAAACTGATATCCTTCTATGTCGGAGTGAATTGAAATGATGGAGAGTTGGTTGTGCTGTTTTGCTGCGAGTTGGTGTTCATGTATCCTGGTGGCAAGTTTCCTGCCCGTCCGTCCAATGTAGAGTTTCTCGCAGTTGCTGCGTGGTATTTTATATATCACATTTGTCCTGCCCATTGTGGGTATTTGGGTCTTTTGTCTTTGACAGTAACTGGCAAAGTGTCTTGTAGTCAGTTCTGATGTTTATGTGATAATTCTGATGTGATAATCATTGACAGTTTCTGTTTCCAGCTTGATATGAATACATTTCTCTAAAATCAAATCTTCTTTGGACTTAACAGGTCTGACAAAGACTCATTTATAATTCTAACAACAATTCTGTATCTTATGAATTCTCTTGTTAAAGTTTCACTGATATCCTCGATGGAAGCAAACTGCCCTTCTTACCTGGTCTGGCCTTTCTGTGACTCCAGACCCACAGCAATGTGGTTGACTCTTAACTGCCCTCTGGGCAATTAGGAATGGGCAATAAATGCTGGCCAAGCCAGCGATGCCCTCATCCTGTGATTGAATTCAAAAAAACCATCGTCACAGTTTTCTACCAAACTGATCATTCAATGATCTCCCTAGATGATGAGTTACTTTGTTAAATCTTCCTCTGCAAGAAATGTATTTGTTCTTGGATTAAAATCATTGTCAAAAAGCTTGAACAATTTCTTCAAAGGTATCCTATAGAATACAGTATTATACTTATTTGCTTAACTTAAGATTTAGTATTTAATTTTGAAACAATTCTGTATTTTGAAATTGTTTTTCCCAATGTGTCTAATCTCAAGTTCTATATTGAGTTTTGATATTAACTCCTTTTGTACATATTATTTCTCCTGCCAGATATTCTTAAAATTATTATGTAGTCTTCTTTACAGCTATTTTAAATTCTACAGTATCAGAACGCTGCTGCATGTCTGATTTTAAAGTTTCTAATTCTGCAGTAAGACAATGCAGTCTTAAGCTTTTTCTTAGGAAGACTTTTACTTCTATGACTAGTTTTATTTTCCTTGTTTTATAAGATATTGAAGTGTTCACAATAGGAATGCTCTGTCTTTTTCTTCAAATGAAGTTTCCAATTCTGTGTTATGGCAATTCTGCATTTTGTTGTATATCTGTACTGCCGACTGGGATGTCTTCCCACTTTCTTGTAGTCAAAATAGTTATTTCCTGCCTTCTGCAGATAAAATGAACACTTTCCCACTTTCTGCAGTGTAGATAAAATTTTCCTGCTTTCATGCCAGCAAAATGATGACTTTCCTACATTCTGCGGCCTAAAACGTAATGCATATCCATTTCTGTGACTTTATGAATACATTTTAATGTTTTAAATCATGCTGCCAATATTGTGGTTTAGATTATTTCTCTCTGATTCTTATTACAGTCTTAAATGTATTCTAATCACCTTCTTCTGTTTGGCTCCATCTTTAATAGATATGAAAATATAGATTTCTTTTATATCTATATTTTGTATATATATTTTATATACACTTTTGCCAGCCCTGAGATGTTCCTGATGCTGTGGCCTCAGTGTAAATAATATTGACTTCACTAATGTAGCTGTGCCTCAGGGTGTATGCTCACCATGATACATCGCCCATTGTGAACAGTAAGTTACTCCTTTCTGAACTTCTATCTTTCACAGCCTGGCCCCTTTGTACTGTTAAAATTTATCCCTTTACCTACCAGGGGACTTTCACTTTATGCACAGCCAAACCTCAAAAGAGGGCTATGGTTTAGATGTGTCCTGACAGATTTTAAAATTATGTAAAGCCACATTTGCCTGTATGTTATACACATTTTTGACTACTCCAGGGAATCAGTGGCGCAGTGGTAATATTACTGGACGAGTAATTAAGAACTCCAGGCTAATGGTCTCAGGACATGCGGTCAAGTCCCACCATAGCAGCTGCTGCAATTAGAATTCAATAAAAATCTGGAATTAAAATTTAGCTAGGCCATTTCAAAAAATTAGCTGGTGACCATGTAGCCATTGCCAATTATCGTGAAAACACATCTGCTTCAAGAATGCCCTTTAGGGAAGGAAATCTGCCATTGCTACTCAGTCTGACCTATGCGTGACTCCGGGTGCACAGCAATGTAGTTAACTCTTAAATTCCCTCTGGGTATCAAGGATGTGCAATGTCATCACCACCTTCTCAAGAGCAACTAGGGATGGGCAATAAATGCTGATCAAGATAGCGCTACAGCTCATTAAAAGGAAAATAATTCAATAGTTTATGTTTCTGCTTTTTGGAAAGGCCAGAAATAAAAAAACAGTCAATAATAAACTCAACGAGGATTGCAGGAGAAGCTTCTTTACGCCTAACTCACTACCACCTGGAGTTGCTGAGGTGCAGTTAAGGAGCTTCAAGGAAAGCACACGAGGGGCCGAGAGATGGAAGGATGTCAATAGAGTGAGATAAAGTAAGTGTGAAGAAGCTTGGTTGGAGCATAAATGTTGTTAGCTTGGTTGGAGCATAAACCAGGTCAATTAACCAGTTTCTGCTTAGTAAAACAATGTCATTTGGTGTAATAGATTGTCATTCTATGCAATTTGATGAAGTCTGTGCAATTACATGGGATGCCTATGGACATGAGACATGCTGAATCTCAATGCAACAGCCAACAGCTTTGAGGAGTTCTGCACTTGGAAAAGGTGTGAGATGAATGCAATTATTTCTTCTTGAAGGGACAAAAACAGGGCCACTCAGAACATTCTCAAAGCAGGCACCGGTATCAGGAGAGTCTGTGACTAGCTCCAATTGATAAGGGCTTGTGAAAGTGAACGGTCTCGATTGATTGAGAATCAGTGGGTTACCCACTCACCGTATATACATCTCCTCTCGGTCAATGTCCTTGTAGAAATTCTGTGGAAGGGAAAAGGAAACATAGTGAGCATCTTAACAACTAAAACAAGTCAAGCAAGGCTACCTTTTTCACAGTGGCCTAACTAAACCAGAGTCTCCCTTTGACCACGTGGGACATTCAGTCTGACATTGTAGGAATCATCACCCGCGAATATATCCACTTTACCGGAGGGGGAGAAAAAAACCAAAAATCTAGATGCGATCTGAACATAAAATCCAAATTAAGATTTCAAGCCAGTGTTGCTCTGTCTGAGTACTGCCACTCAGGTAGATGTTAAACCAAGGGCTCACCTGCCCATTCAGATGAATGTAAAGATCCCATGGTCAATGTTTCATATAGGAGCAGGAAATTATTTTCCCAGTAAAAACCGAAAGAACTGCAGATGTCAGGAACTAAAACAGAAATTGCTGGAAAAGCTCAGCAGTCCTGGCAGCATCTGTGAAGAGAAATCAGAGTTAATATTTCGGGTTGAGCTCTGAGGAAGGGTCACTTGACTCGAAACGTTAACTCTGATTTCTCTGCACAGATGCTGCCAGACCTGCTGAGCTTTTCCAGCAATTTCTGTTATTATTTCCCTAATGCCTTGGCCACTCTTTACAAACAAGGACACTAAGACAGCTATCAAGTGATTCATCTGTTATGGACCAGACCCAACCCCCTCAAATTATATGAAGGAGATAGCCTAGACCCTACCTTTTTCTTACTTTAAAGGCAAGTGCCAGACATTGTGTTCCAGATATAATTTGATTGGTTAAACTACCAGGCTTGACTCAAAACACACTTTATTCATACAGTCTAGTTAAAATATAATAGAAGAAAGAAGAAATTGGAATTACATAACACTACTGGAAAACTTAACAGAATAATAGATGATTTAACTACTAAGCAGTAACTGTTCCAAGATAGTAAGATCCCATAAACACGCCTTTGGCAGAGGCAAATTCAGTAAAACAGATTGTCTCACATACAATTCTAGCAGCACGAAGGGTACCCCAGCTTTAGCTGTAACAGAGAGAGGAATAAGAGCTTCCATATCCAGCTTCAAGAACCAAGCAGCTGCTACTGCACTGAAAAACTAAAACTAAAAATCCTGGTTCTGTGGGAGCTTGACCCCATCCATTCAGGCTGCTTCTATTGCACTGAATTTAGAAAATAAATTCCTAAGGCCTCAAAAGCTGTTTACTTTGAAGCAGACTGCTTGGTACATCTGTCTTAAAACCTCGCTTTAAACAAAAACAAGGACAAAATATACCTCTTAAGGCCACAGTATTGTAAAATATCACATTGCTGTTTATGGGAGCTTGCTGTGCATACAATGGCTGCTGCATTTCAGGAGTAACTACACCTCAAAAGTGTAATTGGCTATAATATTCTCATGTGATTCAATGTAACAATAAAATGAATTCAATGTTATTCCTACCAATCTATCCACCAAGTTCACCGAGCCAACTCTATCCTCATTTCATTATAACTCCCTTTAAGTTAAACACAGTTGTTTCTCACCTGAGTTTCTCACTCTCGAACTGAGTATTAAATTCTATCTTGTTATGATGGTTATGTCCGAGGGGCTCTTTTGCTCAGAGGTCATTTATTAACGTGGTGGGCGTGTGGAATGCGCTGCCGGCAGTGGTAGTGGAATCAGATACTTTAGAGACTTTTAAGCGACTCTTGCGTAGGCACATGGATGATAGTAAAATGTAGGGAATGCAGGGTAGTTTGATCTTAGTAGGATAATAGGTCTGCACAACATCATGGGCCGAAGAACCTGTACTGTACTGTACTGTTCTATGTTCTATGTTCTATTTTCTATGCTCTAAACCTGCCTCATTACTCATTACCGGATCCAAGATCGCCCACTCCCTGGTTGGTTCCATGACTTGCTGCTCGAGGGAACTATCCCTAAAGCACTCGATGAACTTGTTGCTCTTGCTATCCTTCCCACTTTGATTAATCCAATCAACATAGAACATAGAACTGTACAGCACAGTACAGGCCCTTCGGCCCACGATGTTGTGCCGGACTTTTACCCTAAACCTAAAGTCTATCTAACCTCCACCCCTACCTTATACTATCATCCATATGCCTGTCTAATAGCTGCTTAAATGCCCCTAATGAGGCCAACTCCACTACCCTCTCCGGCAATGCATTCCACGCCCCTACCACTCTCTGAGTAAAGAACCTACCTCTGACGTCTCCCCTATATCTACCTTCACTCATTTTAAAACTATGCCCCCTAATAATAGCTACCTCCACCATAGGAAAAAGTCTCTGGCTATCCACTCTATCTATACCTCTGATCATTTTGTATACCTCTATCAAGGCATCTCTCATCCTTTGTCGGTCTAAAGAGAAAAGCCCTAGCTCTCTCAACCTTTCCTCGTAAGACCTTCCTTCCATTCCAAGCAACATTCTGGTAAAACATGAACATAAAAAATCTTTAAGCCTGTTCCATTGTTGAATTTCCCTACGTTATTATGGTTTCTTGGTCCAATATGACATTCACACACTCTTATCTCATGACATTCACACATTCTTGTTTGATCGTTTTATTTTCTGGTAATAATCTGACCCACCACTATCCAGCAAAATCCTACCATCTCCTTTACCTTTGATACAGCCCTAATTATGCGATCTTTCAGGACTTTGGTCTCACCATGATGCATGTCACCTAGTTTATGTTGCAGTTTGCACTCTCAAAAGGTCTGTCTGTAAACTGTAGCACATTGATAGATATGATTACTTCAGGTGTACTGAACATGTTGAACATTGCACTCGTCGGTCTGCCATTGACAAACTTTAACTGTCCTTTAGTTGTCTGACAACTGGAAATTTAGAAAAGTAGTCAGTGACTAGGAGCAAATAGTATTGTGAAAGAAAAAAAACTTGAGTTTTTGGATGAAGTGGCTGATGGAATCTCAGGAGATCGTAGAGGTTCTTTGTCTGGTTGGCAATTCTGGCATGATTCACCATTCTCACATTCTCCTCGATGCCATTGTTGATCATTGGCCAGTGCACAGTATCCAGTACCAGGCTTCTTGTTCATTGTATGGTTATATATCATTGGTGCAGCTGTGACAATTCGGCCTGGCAAAGAACTTCACATAAAAATACTTATCTCCCTTTACATATTACACTGCTTGAGATATTTAGGTCAACTCTATGTGTCCAAAGGCACTTGAGAGTGGTTGGCACCTCTTGTATCCTTTTATAAGAACTGTCTATAGTTACTTCAGTCATGGATCATTCACTGGATAATCCTCAAGTTGGTTGCACTTGACCACAAAACAAAAATTCACATTGCAGTCTTAAGCATATCTTCTATCTTGATGTTCATACCATCTACTTTTAAATCCAATGAAAATTCCACATTCTTATTCAGATTTTGTAATCTGTAGAGTGTGCCTGAGGTAATTATTTTGAGACCAGGTTTGTGAATAAATACTTTGCATCAGTATTCATGGTAAACTCCACTAAAAGCATTCCAAAATCAATGAATAATCAAAGGTCAATAGGAGGACAGGAAATAGAAATAATAACTATCATTAGAAAAAAAATACCAAGGAAACCAATAGGGCTAAAAGCCAATAAGTGCCCTGGACTTGATAGGATGCATCCTAGAATATTAAAGGAAGTAACTATCAAAGTAATGGATGTACTGGTACATTAATCTTTGAACAATCCCCAACATGTCCCAGAGGGTTGGGAAACTGTCAATGTAACACCCTTATTCAAAAAGTGAAAGAGACAAAAATACAGGTAACTCTCGGAAAGTTAGCTTGACTTCCGTTCCTGGGAAATTGCTAGAATCTATAATAAAGGATGTTCTAGTAGATCATTTAGAAATACATAACATATCAAGCAGAGACAGCATGGCTTTATGAAGGGAAAATCATATCTGGCAAATTTACTACAGTACTTTGAGGAGATAACAACCAGGGTACAAAGAACAAAGAACAATACAGCACAGAAACAGGCCCTTCGGCCCTCCAAGCCTGTGCCGACACATTTTGCCCTTCCATACTAAAGTTATCTTCATTTACAGCATCCGTATCTCTCTATTCCCTTCCTATTTATGTATTCATTCAGGTTTTTCTTAAATGTTGTTATTGTGTCTGCTTCCACCACCTCCTTTGGCTGTGCATTCCAGGTACTCACTACCCTTTATGTGGAAAAACTTGCCTCACACATCACTCCCCCCCTTCCCCCCTGCACCTTGACTCTATGTCCCCTGGTAATTGACCACTCTACCCACGGAAAAAGCCTCATACTTTCTACTCTATTCATGCCATTCACAATCTTATAAAATTCTTTCAGGTCGCCCCTCAACCTCCTGCATTCTAGTGAAAACGAAACCAGTCTATCTAACTTTATAGATAAAATCCCCCAAAGCAGGCAACATCCTGGTAAACCTTCTCTGTACCCTCTCCAAAGCATCCACATCCTTCTGGAAGTGTGGTGACCAGAACTGTATACAATATTCCAAGTGTGGGCTAACTAAAGTTCTATAAAGCTGCAGCATAACTAGTCTGTCCTTATACTCAATGCTCCTTCCAATGAAGACAAGCACACTATAGGCCTTTTTTACTACCTTATCTACCTGTGCTGCCACCTTCAGTGATCTGTGGACCTGTACACCCAGATCCCTCTGCATATCAATACTCCTAAGGGTACTGCAATTCACTGTATAATTTCTACCTGAACGTGACCTTCCAAAATGTATCACCTCACATTTGTCCAGATTAAACTCCATCTGCCATTTTTCTGCCCATACCTCCAAATGATCCATTTCCTGCTGTATCCTCTAACAGTGATAATTGGGAACCAGTAGAGGTAAATTATTTGGATTCCCGTAAGGATTTCAATCAGACATGTGGTGCATTAGGTTACTTAATCAGATAAGAGAACATGACATTGGGGGGTTTATTAGCATGGAGAAAGGATTGGTTAACAAATGGTAGTGAGAGACCTGGCATAAAGAGGGCGTTTTCAAGATGACAAC